AGCCAGTAGGGAATGGGCTAAAAGAAATCAGATAAGAAATGGCATTAGACCAACGTCTGCTAAGGGCTGCACTGCTTCCAAAACGGGGGACGGGGGCAATGGGTGGTGGTGCCAGGATTTACTTTGCCATCCCAGCCAAGGGGCAGGTTTTTGGGGTTGTAAATGATCTCATTCTCTTCATCTTCACTTTCACTCTCGCTGATCTGCTCTTCCTCCTCCTCTTCTCGCTCTTCTCCCGTCCTTGCCTGCTTGCGCTGTACGTTTTCATGAGTGAGATGTCGCTGTTCCTAAGGCAAGTCCATAAATGAAAAGGGAAGTCAGAGGAAAAACAGTGCAGAATCAGAGGGAAACTTCCTACTGTTTTCCCATAACCCCTGCTGATCCCTCACTCCAAGTGTAAGGTTTTCTTTCTTGGAGACTAAAGGGAAAGTCCTGCCTTCATATCACACCCCCTTATCAGCAGGCCCTCACTGATCTCCCAGGAAAAAGTAAAAACTTTTAGGCCATTTGCCTAAATTATTTATCAGAGGGCGCAGATTATTACAGAAAAACAGAGAACAAAGTCTCATCTATTCTGTCTCTAAAATATTTCCTGAACCAGTCCTTTCTCCTCCTTTCCACTATCATTGCCCTCACCAAGATGATCACCTTCAAACTGGCCCTGAGTCTCTTTCCATTCCAGTCCTCCTTCCATTCTGCTGCCAGATTATCTGCAGATTATCTTTTTAAAGTCAAATCTACAGGCACTCTCTCCTGCATAAAGAACTTTCTACTGCTTACAGGACAAATATGTAAGATAACTCTCCTAAATTTTCTCTGACCACTCTTTTCCTCACAAGGCACACTCCAGCCACATCAAATTTCTCAGTAGTCCCTGGACATATAATTTTCTTTCATATCGTACCTTTGTACTTGACGTTTCCTCTGCTTGGAACCTTTTTTCTCCCTCTTTCTACTTAGAGAACTCAACCTCAGTGTATTACAGCATGTGTCACATTACACTGCAATTGTTTGTCTGTCTCCCCCAACCAACTATACGGGGAGCTTTTCAAGGGTAACAGGCTGTGTCATATGAACTAATGTACCCAAATATCTAGCACAATATCCCTGGAAACCAACAGGCATCAATAAATGGTGAAACAACGGCAAAAATCATAGCAGTATATAATGAGAGCCACCTCCGAAGGCCATTTTGGCTGGAACTGGTTCAAATTCCAAGAGAATGGTGCCACTTCCTGGCAGGGAAAGCAAGATGCTTTCAAAGAAGGGAGACAGCAGTGGCTGCATCTCATGTCAAGGGCATAAATTACCCTCCCGGCCATCTTCAGAGGATTGGCAACTCACACTGCTGCCCACCCTAGCACAGCCCAAGTTCACTGTGGAAAATATATTGCTGTGTGCCATTGAGTTGATTCCCAGCGACCCTACAGGACACAGTAGGGTCTCCTAGGCTGTACTCCTTATAGAAGCCAGGTCTTTTCTCCTGTGAAGTCACTGGGAGGGTTCAAACACCCAAACTTTTGGTTAGCAGCCAAGCGATTAACCGTTTGCGCCACCAGGGCTCCTCGTGGAGAACACAAGTGCCCACAATTTCCAATGTCCGTCTAGTCTCCTCTCACTGAAAATAGTCATAATAGAGGAAACCAACAGGTGGTAAGTTTATTAGCTATTATAGGGGGGTTCCTCAAACCAAGGGGAGAATGAAAACATCCATGACAAGAGACAGAGATACGTAAACGTCCCAGGAGATAGCTAGCTGAGCCAGAGCCACCCATTCAAATACCACCTGAGCATCTGCAAAGAGAAAGGCTCAGAGAGCAGTTGAAAACTCTAAAAGCAGACACTGTCAGAAAGGCCGGTCTTCCCCCAGGGCTCCCCGAGGCACTAACCATTTCCAGAAGAAATCATCTACCGAAGAGCAAGCTCTGGAGTCAGGCAGACCTGGGCCCAAATCCTGGAGCTGCTGCTAAGTAATTGTGAGAGAATGGACACATTGTATAAGCTTTCTGAGTCCTTACCTGCAAAAAAATCAGGATAATGACGACTTTTCAGAAGTACTGTGAGAATCAGAAAAAACACAAATAAAAAATGCCCCGAACAAGTATGTGGCTGAAGAATACATTCAACTGTCATTAGCAAAAATAAGCGTAGAAAAATATTTTTTTTTTTTTAAAAAGGAAAATGAATTATAACTGGGCAAAGGCAGTTTGGTAAACAAACACTTGAAAACAGTGGTCTGAAGGGAAGCACTAACATACAGCTTTCTCGTTTTGGGGGGACACAATAGTACCTTCCTTGCCTGAGTCATGGAGTCCTCATAACTATTTTTCGCACATCCAAGGGGCACAGAGTGCTATAAGAAGGGGCGTCTTTCCGAGTAACGAAGAATAAGCGTTCTCCACTCACAAAAATGAGGAAGAGCAGCTCCATACTCTCGGGTTCGGCTCCAGGCAGAGAACCCTGGCCGATCAGGTTAACTTTGGACAGGGCTCATGGTGACACCCTGTGCTCTGTCCGACTCCCTTCTCTTTTCCCGCCCACCCGACCCAAAGGACAGCAGAGCACTCACATCTTCCATGGCCCTTGTGCGGTGGTCAGAATTGATCTGGTCCCGGAGCTGAAGAAAGACAAAGGTGACACAGACGCCGTTAGTCGGAGTCCTGGAGTTGGAAAAGCCGCCCGAGGGCGGAGCTTATCTTCTCAGGTCTTAGCGGCAGAAGCAAAGAGGCCTCCGGGGCGCTGGGCCTGAGGAGGAGGTTACCAAGGCTGGAACTCGGAGACGGAGCCCCCAGGAGGGTGGGGGAGCAGGAGGAGCAGCGGGTCGGAGGCCAAAGAGCGCTCAGCGGTTAAACACCGGGCTGGGGGCCCAGACTTACGAGTAGCCCCTGCCCAGTCCCTACTCACCGTGGACTTCTTAGTGAGCATCTCTTTGGCCATGACGTCCATGAGCCGTTCCCTCTCCTCATGATATCGCCGCTGCTGCTCCAGAATTGTCTCCGTTTTTTCTTTGCCGCTGTACCTCAATTCAGACCACCGACGCGGCCAGAAGCAACTCCTGCCGCCTTGCGCGCTTGCGTCCCCACGCTGCACATCCGGCTGCACTAGAGTTCCGTAAGTGCCGGAAGTACGTTGGGGACTCGAGGAAAAGGGGCACCGCGAGGAGATCCAGCCAGTGCTATCGTGATGGCAGCATTGCCCCCTGCTGGTCGGGGTGTGGTGGCCCGCTACGGAGGGGTTTGCAGATGCCTTTAGGGGGCGGACGGACATCCTGGAACCTGAGTTAAACTGCTGGCTTTTCAGGGCTTCCTGGAGCTTCCTTGGGCCGTCTCATCCGGCGGGGATCCTGTCTGGACTGAGGAGAAGTTGAAGAGCGCGGGATGGGAATTGGGGGACCAGAACTTGAGTCCCTAGCTTTCAGGGTGACCTCTGATAACGTTTTCCCCGTCTCTGGACCTCGATGTCCTTGTCAGTAAAATGGGGATGATAGCAGATTTTTGTTGTTGTTTTTGCAGAAATTTAGATGTGGGAACAATCTAATTGCCTATCAGCAGGGTACTAACCAAACCAAAAACCAAATCCATTCCAGTGGAGTTCATTTCGACCCTATAGGACAGAGTACAACTGCCTTATGGGTTTTCAAGGAGCGGCTTGTGGATTCGAACTGCTAACCTTTTGTTTAGTAGCTATAGGTAGCTCTTAGCCACTGCACCACCAGGGCTTACAGCAGGAGACTAAAAAACCAAACTGTTGCCCTGGAATCTATTTCGACTTATAGCGACTCTATAGGACAGAGTGGAACTCCTCTATAGCGTTTCCAGGAGCGGCTGGTAGATTCGAACTGCTGACTTTTTGGTTAGCAGCAGAGCTCTTTACTATGCCACCAGGTGCAAATGGACACAAAGGATCTTTTTGGGGTGATGGAAATGTTCTAAAATTGGTGGTGGTGATAGTTACACAACTCTTAATATACTAGAAATAATTGAATTATACACTCAAAATGAGTGAATTTTATGGTATGTAAATTATACTTCAATAAAGCTGTCAAAAAATCTGCATGAACTCATTAAAAGATGGCCACGAAAAGTCAAAAAAGGTGGATGCACAAGATGAAAAGTTTTGTTCAATGTATTCATGTGATACTTTTCCAATTTAAAAATAAAACTAAAAAATGAAAACACGTATATGCATGTACATGCTTAACAAAAAAGGACTAGGAAACTGTAATACATCAAGGAGTTATTAATTTACCTTTTGTTCTCTTTACTACCTGGTAGTGTATAATTTTTCTACAAGCAGCCCCAGTGGTGCAATGGTAAAGAGCTCAGCTGCCAAGCAAAAGATCAGCAGTTTGAACTCACCAATGGCTTGTGGGAGAAAAGACCTGGTGATCTGCTCCCGTAAAGACTACAATCTAGGAAATCGTATGGGGCAGTTCTACTCTGTCATATAGGGTCAACAGTAGTTGGAATTGACTTCAGGGCACACGACAACAATTCTTCTACAATGAACACACTTTGCTTTTTTGCAAAAAAAAAAAAAAAGTTATCTTTTGGTTTTTAGAAGTTTGAAAAATAAAATGGGGATAATGACCCTTGTCTTGCCTACTCATGGGGGTGTTGTGAGGATCATATTTTCATCTGAGAATGTAAGCAAGACCTCCAGTGTTAGAGAATGGAGGACCCCAGGCACAGCTCCCCTCTGTGACTTTTCCTGGGCCCCTAACAAAGAAGGGAGAAATCTCCACTTTGGAGTGGAGCAACTCAGGGTGTTTAGTATTTTTTTGTGAGGTTTGCCATCTGTTCTATTTCACTGAATATGAGATACCATCAAATGTAAAACTTACCATTATTTTAAGCTCAACTAAGAAAGGAAAAGAAAAACTGTCAAATCATGACACATCTTCAATTATAAAATGCATCTCAGGTTTTGGAGATGTTAAATCTGGATAATGTTTGTCTTGAAATCCACGAAATGTGGTATTGTAGCAGCATATCCCTTCCTCTTAAGTGGGTGGAACATTTAAGCGCCACCATTCATCCCTTCAGAAACCCTGGTGGCATAGTGGTTAAGAGCTCCAGCTGCTAACCAAAAGGTCTGCAGCTTGAATCTGTCAGGTTGCTCCTTGGAAACTCTATGAGGCAGTTCTAACCCGTCCTATAGGGTCACTATGAGTCGGACTGGACGGCAACGGGTTTGGTTTGGTTTATTCATCCCTTCACTCTACCTCAAACTTAATGCCTACCTTCTCCTAAACCCCTTCTCTATCCCCACTACATCAAATCAGTCCTATCTTTTCCACTCCTGCTGCCACCTGCCTCATCGCCTCTCACCTGGACCACTGTGCTTGCTGCGTAACCAGCTTGATCATCTTACCCTTCCAATCCATTATTCATGCCACAGCCCAAGTGATCTTTCCAAAACTGCGATCATCTCACGCCCCTGCTTAAACATTTCCATTGGCTGCTTTACCCTCAGGGTGAGGTCTGTTTAACTTGGCACTTGGCTTTTCGTGACCTGGGCTCTACCTGCCATTTTAGTCTCCTGGCACTTTTTCCAAAGTAAATTACTTGTTGCTTCCCCAAAGCACCGTATGTTTTCAGGCCTCCAGGCCTTTGCACCAGCTGTTTTCTATGCTTGGACTGCTCTTCCTCAACGAGTATTCACTGAACTTGTAGTAAGTGCCGGAAGCTGGGAATGGAGGGGTAAACAAGGCAGGCCAGAGCCAAATTCTGACGGTCAGGGGGAGAGAGAAACAAAAATGTAACATGCAATTATTAATCATGGTAACTGCACACGGTGGGCATTGGGAAATATTTGTTGAAATGCCAACCCCTTCCTCAGATAGTTTAGGACTGGGGCCAGGAGGGAGTGTAGTGGGGATTAGAATTCTGGATCAGTGACTGCCTAAGTGACTGGGCAACTGACACGCAGAATCTGAGTCTCTGTCTTCACCTCTGTGAAATGGAAGTAATGCCCGCCCCGTAGGGTTTCTGGGAGAGTTTAACGTGAGGAACAAATGATCACGCCGTTTCTGTGGGACCAGAAGTTACCCCTCCCCCACAGACCGCCGAGGTGGCTGCTGGCGGTCCTCAGTGTGCACATCAGCCCGTGCGTGCCGCGTGCACGCACAAAACTGCCTTCGCCAGTGAGACTGCGGCGGTCCAGACTGCAGGCTCTGTGGGGGCCGGGGCCGGAGCGTCGGACGCCGGGTGAGGGGTGCAGCGCTCCGTCCCATCTCCCCACTTAGGGGGGCAGCCCTCCACGCTCATTCACACCCCAGCCCGTGTATCACGGTGG